CGCGCAATCGACACGGTGCCGCCGCTCAGCGTCACCCCCGACAGCGACGCCACCGACGACGCCTCGCCCACCGCCCACACGTCGTGCAGGTCCAGCCACCCGCCGCCACCGAATGTCCCACCGTCGCAGTGCACCACTGACGACGCAACAGACCCCTCAACGCCCACAAAGCGCAGCACCGAATCGGACACCGCAAGGCGCTCGCCAAGCACAAGGCCGCCGCCGCTGCTCACAACCGACACGTTCGTCACGGAGAAAACCGAGTGGGTCCGCAGACTGAGACGCGACGAGGACGCCACATGCATCGCGGACGCGGTCGGACCGCCCGACGCCTCCAGCAACACGCCGTCAAGCACCACCGCGCTCGACAGCAGGTCCACGCCGCCGCCAACGTACACCGCCGACCCGCCCGCCTGCAACGACCTCAGCACAGTGTTGCTCACACGCAGCTGCGTCTGCAACAGCGACGTCGCGTACAGCACAAGCGGCGACGCCACCGCGTCCGTCAGCCCGCTCAGCTGGGAATAGCGCATCGGCCCCGTCGTCACAATCGTCGAGTCACGGACCGTCACGTTCGTGTGTGCCGGCAGGTTGTGCACAAACACAAGCGAGCAGTAGCTCCCGGACAGCCCGCTCACGCTCACCTCCAGGCTCCGGTCACTCGTCGGCTCGCCGCTGTAGCCCCGCACGTAGATCTGCGCACCGCCGTCGCACACGCAGTTCCTCAATTCGATGCGCAGCGCGCCGGGAAGCATCGCCGCAACGTCGAACACCACAGCCACGCCGTTCGTGATGTACACGCCGTCCATCAGCACCGTGTCCACGGCGCGGCCAACCGTGATGGCTCTGCCCACCGTACCGCCCCGCAGTCGCAACACCACCGCATGCACAGCAGCCATCCACGCCGCCGCAGCAAACAGCACCAACACAACGAGCAGCGCCGCACGCATAGCCGCAATGGCCCTGCGCCGCACACGGTGCCGGCTGCGCGGACACGCACCCACCGCAGACCACATCCACCAACCCAAACAGGTACCAACAGGGCTGTCGTGGTATGTCACACTCGCCCCGTCGACCAATCCTCTCGCTTCGCAAATCCCTTCCTACAGATGGCAAATACAGAGACACAATTCCGATAGATCGCTATACCACTAATAATCCTAATACTGCGAGTAAACCCTAACACCTTAAAACGATAGTTGTGCTGGTCAATCCAAAGTAGCTCTAAATGCTTGGTCAAAAAAGAAAGAGAAGAAGAGGGCAGAGGCAGCAACAACAGTAGCTAAACACAGTGGCACACAGAAGCATCCAGCCACAGACGATCCCCACCACGGCCACTGACACAAAGCCGCGCAGACGCAATCAAATCAGTAACACCATCGCCCTCCCCCATCGAACAGCACCGCACTAAATCGGGCCGTGGATACTTTGTGAATTAGCGGCAATTGAGCAGCATACAAGGAACAGCATCAAAATTTCATCTTATAATTGCTCAAATTTATTTTTCTCGTAATTTCTGGCAACAGCACTGAAAAGACCACAGAAGAAAAAGCTTCCATCCTTCCTTCCAATCAAAAACGAAAAAAACCTCCATACCCTCTCCCTTTCCACGGCCTGAGTGCCGCAAGAGGCTGTCAACGTCAATAAAAACACGTGTGTGGAGGCCCCAAATGTGTGGGCGGGGTCGGCATCCAGCCACACGCACTCCCACACACACCCGCGCTCCCTCCACTCTCCCCCACACGGGGGCGGTGCCATGCGGGAAGGAAGTCCGCCACACAGCGCATGCACGAAGCACTCGGTGAAGCAACGCCACCCATTCCGCACCGCAAGAAAGAGCCATGCGCTCAGCACAGACCCACGGCCGCAACGAGAGGAACGTGGCGCATCCAAGTCCACGGTACAGTTCTTTACTTCTCTCCGCCCCGACAAGTTGAAATTACACTCCACAACGGATTGTGGTGGGTGGCGTCCCACACTCACAGTGACACACGGCGCACACCACTCGCTCCCTCCGAGTGCACTCAGCAGGCCGGCGCCCAGTCACCCTCTTGCCATCGCAAAGGGGAACACAAACAATCGTCGTCGCTGGCCACCAACGCCTCTAGCAGGAAAGATGAAAGAATGGGGGCATGTCAACAGCACAGCGGACAGAGGGACATCCAACGGGACAAAAAAACACAAAGAGACAGTGGGAACAAAAAAAACAAAAGCGAGTGAAAGGGATTTACAAAGAAAACAAAACACAATCAATAGAAGGCAGACAAAGAATGATAGTCCAGCAAAAGTCACAAAAGAAAAAGTGATCAGGCAGGACTTCTATTTCACGTTTCAAGCAACAAAAAACGACCGTGTGTTTGTGTATACATATTGCCCACACCAAGAAAAAGTAACAAAAAAAAATTGTACTTTTCCACGAGCCCACACAACGCCCCTCAAATTACATGTGGCACACGGTCTGCTCCTCCGTTCCTCCTTTTGTGCAGTCCGTGGGAATCACAGGAATGAGGCCGGCACGGCGTGTGGACAACAGAAGCAAACAGGAAGGAGAGGGTGCGCCACACATGAGAATGTGTGTGAATGATCAAAGAAATTTCACAAAAGAAAAAATTCAATGTATAAACACACACACGCATAAAAAAAAAGAAAAAATTACTCTTCGGCAGGCAATGGAATTGGAAGTGGTGCTGCGGATGTGTTCCAACGATTGCAGCAGCTCCTCACTCTCCCAGACCCCAACAGGAAGCCGCAGTGCCCCACAGCCCCAAAAGCGGAATCGAAAACACCCGAGACACACACCCATGCACGGTGCTGTCACCCCTTAAATCCCTCGCCCTCAAGTTAGTGCTGCTCTCGGAATAAGAAGAAACGCTGTCAGAAATGGCCTCAATGCCAACTCACCCACTCCTCAGGCAGCGCTGACAGCGGCTCCATCTTTGGCTCTTCCGGCCCTTTTGATTCTTTTGATTCTTTTCAAGCAAGAGTACTAGACACTGGCACAACGTTGAAGTGGCCGGCTGCGCCAGGGTGCAATGTACTTCCGAAATTCTTCCCTACTCAACGGTCGGTTGTACAGAAAGACGTTTTTCGTCGTCACACGCCTCTCACTCCGTGTGTCGTCTGCGTTGCCTCCATCCCCTTCAATGCGAAAGTGTCCAATCTCCTGTGAATTCCTTCCAGTCGCTGAAGTCGATGCTGAATTCTCGAAACGCTGGCCAGTAGTGTAGACAGAGACCCGACTACCAGTCCAAGGCACAATCGCCACCTGACATTCCTTACCCGGTCCCCAAGTGATTCCGTTTGTATCCTTATTTCCGTTGAACATTGTTTCCCACCTCATTTTATGCGCTTGCGACAATTCAAGAAATACAGCGCTGCCTGTTTCATTTATCCCCACACCCATCAAAAAGATGCTGCCGCAAGATGGTGAAAACTTGTAAATAGACATCGCCTCCACAAAAGGTGAACCCGATGATTGCAATGCACTACATCTGATTCTTCCCCCGATTGCCAACGGACCGCTACGCCCACGAACCAACACCCTTGGAAGCCGATCCACTGGAAAACCCTTCTTCCACAGCTGCCCCACCCTTCTCCGTAGCGTTCAGCCCCCAAGTTCCTCTTCCTTCCATGTATTCTCGGATAATTTGCCGGACAAACACCCAACCAGCCCAGCTGGAGGCATGAAAGTGTCGCAGCCCTCGACAGACAGAAGATTTTTCTTGACATTTGAGTAAGGGCAGAACTGGGAGACACAAATGCACAGCTCCTTCAAAGTCCTCACCAAATCCTTCACCCGCTTCAGCTCCGCAGTCGGGCACACAGACAAATGGCTGCGTGCCCATTCCCCATCGTCGTTCTTCCCGCACAGTAAAATCAACTCCTCTTCATCATCCTCGCCTTCACCACGTTCGTAAAAAAGGGAGCTGGCGGCAGCAGCATACAAATTACGGGATGCCAGCCCAATGCCTGCAATGCGAACATCGCCCGCCAGCCAGAGAAAAAGCCGACCCTTTTCCTTTTCGCCCGCTTTATAACACGCCGGCGGGGTAACGCGCAACACATCCCTTTCTTCAATCGTCGCAGTGACGAAGCCGCTCAGAACGCCTTTCCATGTCTACCATGTCAGTTGGCCCACGGGCGGGCGATTGGGTGTCCCCAAAGGCTCCGCCCACGTCTCCCCATTTTCACCGGACGCGCCCACCCTCCGCTGGCCGCCGTCGGATGCAGTGATCATGAGATTTCCACCTTCCCAGAACACGACAAAGGGATTACTTCACCCCTCAGCAGATATCGCTCTCGACAGCATTTATTCCCCAAGCTTTGCCAAGCACGCGATCAGTGGAACGGGGTTTTTGCATTTCGCAGCGTCAGGTGCTGTAGGGAGACGCCGGGGATTATTTTTTTGTTGTTGGTGTGCTGAGGTCTTGTTGATCCTTTTTGCTGGTTGATTTTTTCCTCTTTAGGAAAGCGCCGGTTATGTTCTTGAGGTTTTTTTGTTTTCTTTTTGTTTTTTTTTATTATTGGTTTTGATCCAAATGTCAACGATAAAGTTGGAGTATTTGACTGCCGGGGATCTGTATCTTTCTCTGCGTTTTTTTTTTTTTTTTTTTTTTTTTTTTGCTTCGGTTTATTGTTTTCTTCAATATTTATTAATGTTACCGTTATTATTGGTCTTCTCGCCTTATTTTGTTGTTTTTGTTCTTGATTCATTTGCGTAGTTTGTATTTATTTATTTGTTTATTATTTGATTATTTTTTTTATTTATTCGTGTATTTATCATTTTTTTAGTTATTTATTATTTATCATTTGATTATTATTATTTATTTATTTATTTATTTATTCTTTTATTTATCATTTTTTGGTTATTATTTATTTATTTACGCTGTTTCTTTTTATTTTTCTAAATGTAGTGTTGGTTATTTTATTTTGCATTGGGGTTTTTTGAGCTGCTATAGAAAACGATTTTTTTTTTTTTTTTAGGTTATCTGCAGCCCAGTATGCTTCGTCGGTGTTTTCGATTTTCAATTCCACATCTACAGGATCTGATTCATCGTCTGGACTATTTTGAAAAAGAGATTATTGAACTGAGGGCCTTTCGTCAGATGGTTGAAGCGGCTTCCCCGGAAATGGCACTAGCAGCTGAAGCTATTGCAAAGGAGCGACAAAGGGCAAAAGGAGATATCGATGTTGTTATGGAATATCCATTAACATCAGAAGAATTTGTGGAATTGAACCAATTTTATGCACTTCAAAAGGAGAAAAGGTTGCCTTTGAGAAATATGATGCATATACGTAATGTTGAGGATCTATATGTTCATGCAAAAATAATTCATCGGGAATATCTGGTGCGTTTGGCACAGAGAGCCCGTGCATTAACCCTTGCACCTATGGGTTTGTCCCAAATGCCTTCTATACAAGAGTTACGCCGATCTTATGAGTGGAGTTTTCATGGTGTCAATTCTACTAAACCACCCATTGATTTAGAGAGTGCGCAGGAATTTGATTCGTTGATGCGTTGCGTATTTTTGAGGCACTACAATGTGAGTTCGTTGTTGAGTGAAGGCATGTACGAGCTTGGACAGCGTGAGATGTGGAGCGAACGAGATTTTTCTGATAAATCTCTTGTAGAAACCTTTGAGGAACTTCAGGTGTTTTTTGATGAATTTTGTACTGGTCGTGTAAGACTGCGC